CTGATTTTTCTAATACACGTGGCCTGATGATGCTTCAGTGAAACTGGCGAAATGTGTGCTATGAAGGAGGTCACATTATTCTCAGATGATGCGAAATCGAAGGAAAGCGAAAAGCAGTTGGGACAGGTGAGATTTTAAGCCATTTGATGCATGGAGAGGTTTTTATTGATTGCAAGTTTCGAGTCAGTTTTATCTATTCATGTCTATTACAATCCTTTCTGTTTCTTACAGGAGATTACATTACTGAGTCGTTTACGGCATCCAAACATTGTGCAGTATTATGGATCTGAAACGGTCAGTTGTATTCTTGCATTCCTTGTAAACCCTCCTATAATGATGAAGCTTCATATATAAATCTCCAAACTTGAGTCGACTGTGTCAACAAATGTCTTACTCCATATTTGGTTATAGAAAGCACTTTCAGTTGACCTAGTACGCTTCTTCAATGTATTATGAAATTCGTGGAAATACATCTTGAACTGATATCTACATGAACTGCCATATTTACAACATTGGTCATATGGCTGTTCTTGTAAAGTTCTATATGTCGGCATGTTGCTGCTAAAATATGCATGGAGTTGTTTTCCCTGTGTTTTCACTTCTTCTGAAATTATTTTGCTTGATTAGGTGGATGATAGATTATATATCTATTTGGAATATGTGTCTGGTGGTTCCATCCATAAGCTTCTACAAGAGTATGGAGAATTGGGAGAATCAGCTATCTGTAGTTATACTCAACAAATTTTGTCGGGGCTTGCATATTTGCATGACAAAAACACCGTGCATAGGTAATTTAGTTCCGTTACTTGGATAAATTTTCCGCTTGTAACATGGATGTGAACCATCATTTCTAAGCATGTCGTCTTGCACTTCTGCTGTTTATATATTGCAGGGATATTAAGGGGGCTAATATCCTCGTGGATCCAACTGGTCGTGTCAAGTTGGCTGACTTTGGCATGGCAAAGCATGTAAGTGTGGCTTTCTCTCTGATTTTCCTTCAGTAGCTTTTTAATGGTCAAGAAATGAATAGTCCAATTCAAAGGGTTTACCTCCTGCAGAAGAAAACTCAAAGAATTATGTAATGGGCACTGTCTACGAACTTCCAAATGCAAGGAAAGATGGAGGGAACACCGATTGATAAGCCTTATCTTTGAATTGTTATCAGATAATGTGAATCCTAAAGAACTCTGGAAATAAGGGAAATCAACAAGTGAAAATTGCTGTTTATAATTAATTGACTTCAAAATTAGCACTACGTGACTGTGTAAGACAAGATCTAGTTTTTTTTTTTTTTGTTTTTGTTATTCCTGTCATATTAGCTATCGAACTCTTAATTTTTTAAGTCTATTATACTTCTTAATATTAATGTTATTACGAATATTTCTTGTCTATTTCTTTTTCTCATTAAATAAAATTTTCATCCTATGACGGTATTAGCAGTTATGTGCATTTTTCTGTCTTGCAGATTACGGGGCAGACCTGTCCATTGTCATTCAAGGGCAGTCCTTATTGGATGGCGCCTGAGGTTGAAGATATATATATATTTTTTTTTGTTCTGCTATATAGGCTTCTTTCCAGCTCTATTATTGCATTTCTTCTATCCTGCTTTTTTAGGTCATAAGGAATTCAAAAGGGTGTAGCCTTGCTGTTGACATATGGAGTCTTGGATGCACTGTCTTGGAAATGGCCCTATCAAAGCCTCCTTGGAGCCAGTATGAAGGGGTCAGTAATTTGAACTCTGATTTTCTGTAAAATCAATCTTTTTTAGTTAGTGCGTGTCTGATGGGTGTCAGTGTCGTACTTTTCCTGTGCCACCTAACTGCATATTGTTTGATAAATATTAACTTGCAACGATCTGGAATAGTTACTCTGGACCTTATTTATCTGATACTTTGTGTTTTGTCCTGAAGGTTCAGGCCATGTTCAAGATTGGGAATAGTAAAGAACTCCCTACAATTCCAGAACACCTCTCGGATGAAGGCAAGGATTTTGTGAGGCAGTGCCTCCAGCGGGATCCTTTGCATCGTCCTACTGCTGCTCAGCTTTTGGATCACCCTTTTGTGAAAAGTGCCGTGCTTCCAGAGAACTCCAAATTTGGATCTACACCTCCAGATCCTCCGGCGGTAACTAACGCTGTAAAATCTGCAGTATTGTTATCTATTTACGTCACTTCTTCAATGTGCTGAGATTTGTAATTATAATCTGTTTTGTTTCACTCGAATCAATATTTATTACATTTTCAGGCCTATTTCTAGCTAGTGGAAACAATTTTTGGAAGTATGACAACAAAATAGTTCTATGACCCCACAGCAACTTCACCTGGGTGTAAAGGGAAAATCCTAGCTCTGTAGTTTCACTATACCAATCTCCTCTTCCTTCCAAGTAAACAATTTCTGTTGTTAACTTAGCCCCTATTTTATACCCATTCTTTAAAAACTCTTTTTTCCCGAACTTATTTTCAACCAATCACTCTCAATAAAATAATTTTACATGTAAACCTAAATTTTTTTACTTTTTAACCATACGTTCTCCAAATAATCAGTATTAACAAATCTATTCTTTCAAAAATTGTGGCTCAAACAAACTCTTACAAAACCTTGAGAAAGAGAGACCCTGACATGATTGGCATAGAGAATCAGGGTTGTGAAGCCTTTTCTCTTCAATGTCAATAATCATTTTTGACGCTTGTTTATATGCAACATGTGAAGTTCAAGTTGAATCTTTATGTGTTGCCTTGTATATTTTGTTACATTGTTCTTGAAGGCTTTTTGTGGAGGACTGGTATTCTTGCTTGTCATTTGAGACATTTTGGCCACTTCGTATATTTACTGCCACTTGGTTTCAAATGATCTCCAGGGCATTGGACACACGAGAAGTCTTCAACTCTTGGGTTCAGAAAGACTTGCTATCCACTCATCTAGAGTATCAAAATTTCATTCCAGGTGATCCTCTCTCTCTCTCTCTCTCTCTCTCTCTCTCCCCGGTGCATAACTCTCCCCGTCGTTTCTTCAACTGAAAGAAATTAGTCGAAGCCTTTGTTAATGCATCATAACATTTTCAAGACATGGTAAAGGATGAAGATACAGTGATAATTGGCTTTGTTCACTGATTGTATTCTTTATACTTTCCAGTGATATTTATAGTCCTAGGAATGTATCGTGCCCCGTCTCTCCAATTGGGAGTCCTCTTCTACATTCAAGGTCACCTCAGTACCCGAACGGGAGGATGTCTCCGTCGCCCATATCTAGCCCCCTCACAACTTCCGGCTCGTCCACACCTCTCAACGGTGGGACTGGCACCATTCCGTTTCATCTTCTTAATCAATCTATATTATCGCAAGACATTTTTTCTAACTTGCCTAAGGCACCGGCCAGTCCCCGTTCTAATAACCCGCCCTACTGGGATCCCGACATATTTCGAACTGCACAGTCAGGAACTAATGCTTTTCGGGAACTAGCATCAAATGGTAGAGATGCTGCAGGAAATCAGTTTGGAATGACTATAAATGGAAAAATGTACGACAGACAATCCGTCTTGGCTGATCGTGTATCTCAGCAACTCCTAAGAGATCCCATTAAGCTGAATCCATCTTTTGATCTGAATCCTTCCTCTCCAATGGCAAGCCACCGCATGTATGGAGTATAACTTGTTTCGATTCCGTTCAAGGAAGGTTGCCTATGGAGTCACATCCCTCGTGCTACAAGGGACGTGGCTATGAACACTAGTGACCTGCTACAGATGTGTGACTTTCATGAAAAATGAAGCTTCTTGCGCATGAGATTCGGCTTGAAATGAAAAAATTAATTTGCCTGGGGATGATAGCTTCAGGTGTATAGCTGATCCTGGACTGAATCTTTGGTCTGGAAAATGTATATCTATTTTATTGCATAGAATAGAAAAGAGAAGAAAAAAGCAAGGGTGTTCGGACAATAAGCAGGTGTAGAATCAACTATTTTTCACTTCCATTCTGCAACTGCTGTACAGAGAATGGACTGAGAATGTAGCAAATTTTCCTCAATTCTATATCTTCTCTTTCTGGGATTGATTGATCAACTGATTGATTGTCTAACCAACATCTGAAGTTCTTTGTCTATACTATTTAGCACAGAACTATATTCATTCAAATAATAAGGTAAACAAATAAATACCCAACTTGGTTTAAAACATTTTCACCCTTTGCAACTGGCCTAGAATTGGTTAATTAGCGGAAAAAAGTAAATGGATTTTGCTACTTGTATATCAAAATGGTGCATAAGCGGTTATCGAAAGTGACATTGAGGGAAAAGACTTGATGAAAAAGTTGATTGTTTGACAAATAGTAGAGAGTCATGTAGTATTATGTAATTTCTTATGTAAATTTTGATATACATATAGTAAGATTCAAAGTTAATTGTTCAAACATTAAGGAATCATGTCACATGTACATTATAATTGACAACAAATTTGACACTCTTACATGTGACAGTAATTTGCACCATTGATTTTAAACTCATCTATCCCATCACCGTTAGATGCCTTCCACTTGGAGGGTGTCAGGATGTGCATCATGCTTAATTCAACATTAACTCATAAATTCTACAATGCCCGTCCGTTTGTTTTTTACTTTTTACTTATCAAGTCAGCTTGGGAAATAATCTTCAAATGTATTCAACCCGATTTCGAAAAATCAATCTTAAAAGAACTTGATTGGCAAATTAGTTGAATTAATTTGTTGCAAATAAATCTCCTCATAATTTGAAGATAATTTCTTAGCCAAACATGCTCTTAACAAAGAGGTTTGACGCCAGGAAAAAAAAAAGAAAGAAAAAGGAAATGTACTGCACATTAAATCAAAAATAATAATAATAATAACAACAACAACGTTCTACAATTTACAATTACAACACGTAATTAAAGTCCTACCAAAAACAGTGAAAAAAATTTTACAGCAAAGGAGATTTGCTTATGTAATAAGACACATTACAAACAGCTTAGTCCTTAATCTTGCGGTTATAGTAATATTATTTTGAAAGCCTTCGGGAGAAAACTGGCAGCAAAAATCCAAACAAATTCAAACTCCAATAAAACATGTTTGCCACCGCAAGAGCTCTCCCAATTTGCACCCCGCCGTATCCCGCCTTGGAGATTTCAACCCTCAACCACTCCACCACAGTGAAAATCCTCCTCGAATTGTAGAAAACCGGTACGAAAACCCGAACAGGCAGTGAAAAACCACCAGCAGAGGCCTGCCCCTCCATGAAAACTTGACTGGCTAATAGGCAAACATGGGGAGCAGCAGCCTTAATACCCAACTTGTCACCTTCTAAGATGCCATGAAAAATATATACTATCGGGAAAAATAACCCGATTAGAGATCCGACGAACCCGTAAAGGCTTAGGACCTTGTTCTTTTCGGAAAAACCGGAGGCTTCTCGCTGGAAGGAGGTGGCGCCGGAAATGCAGGTTTTGATATGAAATATATGTAAATTATGGAAAAGATGACGAAAGCTAGGTCTTCAATTCTTACCAAACCGCTGGCGGAGACGATGATGATCACAGCGAGGGCATTAAGCTGCCGGAAAGTGAAGAAATCGCCAGGAATTGGTGGTTTTAAGGCGGATTTGTGGATTAATGCCGGTTCTTGCGCTTCTTCATTATCTATACCCATATCTCTGGGCGGACCAACCCCACCGGACATTTTTTATCCTTTTTCTTAGCTAAATTCTAATATTATGGGTAGATCAGTTTCTCCAAGGATGATTGAATAGACATTCACCGAAGTAGAGGTGACAAGGCAAATATGAGAAATACACGTGGCAGGTGTCGACAGTGAGCAATTCAATTCATGGTGTAGTCCTAGATTATGTCTTGTAATGCTTTTAAGTGCTTACAAAGTTAATACTTGGCTTAAGTGGCAAGAACAAAGTCTTACCTACTTGGTTCGAGCCTCCTATTGTGTGGATAGGTAAAATCCTTCGATCCCTTGAAAAAAAAAAAAAAAAAAAAAAGGTTGTGATTCTTACAAAATTTATGGATAAAAAGTATGGTTTATCAATTTAAATTATAATTTAAACTTTGCCAAACATCACTTAATTGGACCAAAACACCTGAGATCACATAAGATTTGATGAACTGGGATTCTCACACTTAAGAGTCATAGTGCAAGTGATGGTACAAATTGGAATTGGAATAAGGGTTGCTCTACCTTAGTTGAGGTGAAATTAAGTTACTATCAAAGCAGTAATGTTGTATTAGGACTTCTGTCATTCGATTAAGCACTTTTTGATATGACATCAAGCTATATGCATGAGGTTGGCGAGTGGCCCCCTAGGACCGAGATGGTGCACCTACCCTCTGAGCCACAAGTTGATCTAATGGCCCTTGACCTTCTAGGTGGCCCAAGTATTGCCTCATGGTAGAGGAATCCTTGATGCGAAGGTCAAGCTTATCACGTGATGACAACACACCTACTTGATTCGTGAAGGTTTAACTAAGATAAACAGAGTGGTGAGTGACTCTTGATGGTACAAAGCTTGGAATCAAACTTTGATTTGGCACCAAATGCACCTGCATGACTTGCAATTAAACGAGCATTAAATGATAGACTCGACTAAATAGACATGATATCCTTAAATTTAATTGAACTCCATTTAATTGAACCATCGTTAATGATACTAATATGTCACATAGATTGTGTATTACACGAGTGGTGTTACATAAAATTATTCTATCCTCGTGAAAGGAAAAAGGAGGCACATTTACTTGCCATTCATGCTTGTAAGGTAGATGAGTTTATTAAAAATGTGGATATTTAAATTAACAAAGTCAATTGTTTGGCTGACAAACAAAAATACTAGCAAACATAAGAAAATAAAGATGTTAAATCTTTTATGTAATTATAGGGATCCTCCCAGTTCAATTGTAAAGAGCTCAAATGTAATACTACCTTCTCTTTTCTTAATTAGAACAACACAAAAATCTCTTTCAAAAAGTTACAAAATCTTCCATTTGATTTAATTACTTTTGATGATTGCCTTTTGCTTTTCAAGTTGGAGTTCATTTCCATTCACCACCAACCAAACAATTTAGTTATAAGAAAATGAAAATGTTTATCAACATAGTAGATCTTCCATGGATATGTAAATGTTAATAAATTTAATTCTAACAAGTTTCTGGATCTAAGTATTGCATTCTCCATCCGCCAAACAGCTGCAGAGGAGGTTCGATTCCCGTTATACGCGATGTGGCGTACTTTTAATCTTCATTTCTCCAATACACATATTAGTGATCATCTGATCCGGCAAAACATCATAATCATATGTGACAAAAACCAAATTGGAGAACAGTCGAATTCCAAATTGGAATCTACTCGCCCGCAGAAAAGTTATATATCAAACTTACTGACAGAAGACCCCAGTTAAAATTGGAACCCCTGCTGAGAATGTAAGGGCAATAGGTTAACTACTTGGGTATAAATTCTCAACTACTATCCTCTAATAAGACCACAGCATTCTGTTTGGGTAAGTATATTAATCTTAAAACTCTTTTCTGCCTTAGTTTCTAAACTTAACCTGAGCATTTCCGCTTGATGCTTCTAGGCCTACGGGCTGCTTCTCAGTCTCAGTATTGCCATCGACGGTGCATTCATGAAAATCTGATGTTTGTGCTGCCATTGTACAGTTGTCTTCAGCTCCTGAGCATAATGGAGGTTCTAGCTCTGAGAATAGAACTAATTTCACATGATCTGATGACATAGCTTCCTTCCATCCTGCATATTTGAAACCAACCAGATTGAGAAGCCCAAGATATTTAGATGCAGAAAGTGACGCTAAGACATAAAACGGTAAGATATAGACGTACTCTGTGAAAGAAACTCTTTTGCAGCAATACTGCAGAACGATAAACCTCCTTGTTTAGCATTTCCATTTGAAAACATATCGCTGTGCTCTCCACCATCTCGGTCATCACTGTCAATAGAGCATGATTGCATACATCTTTCACTGCACACCGTTTGATTGCCAGCCTCATCCAACCCGCTCCCTTCAGATTCTTGATCACCTTTGTCAACCGGCCAAATACTACTAGTTTCATGCCGGTTCAAGGGGGGCTTACTGGCACTATGTTTAACTAGCTTCTCCAGAATATCACTTTTCTTAGGTATGGCATGTTTGGTGCTACAAGTATCTTGCACTTCATCAGGATCTCTTAGCGTGACAGAAATAGAACCAATCATCACCTTGAAGCTATTTTGTTCAGTTTGGTTACTGGTCTCTTTCTGCGATCTAGGTTTTGAGTTCTGGTCATCATCATCCACATTAAATTTCTTGGTCCAAGCTTTGCTGCCATTAAGTAGAGTCCCGTGATCTTTAGGAGTAAGATTTTGTACGGGTTCGGATTTCAATGCTTGAAGATCATGACTAACGCAAGATCCATTTCGACCACCCTTTTGTGACTTTGCCACCTGGCATCTATTGGTTGCTAAACGCCGACGGCCATCTGAGTTCGTCTTCCGGGTTTCAATGGTCTGGAAATTATCAGCGTCGATATGGTCGCTGCTGAAATCAAACTGAACTTCAGAAACATCTATTTCTTCGCTTGGAAACTGAATGGATTCGGGGCAAGAAGCAATATTTACTGGCATGTTTGGAGAATTCAAATTGAAATCGGATGGAGATGTAGGATCGGACACTTCTGCTGAGAGAAATTCATCTAGTGCATTAATAGATAGAGTCAAGTATTCCTTGCATTCATATTGATCCTTTGTTTTCTGCTCCTTCTGACGGAGCTTTTTCTGTTTTTTTCTCTCCAATAGTTCAGTTTGCCTATTTTCAGAATGGTACAATCAATTGGAGAAGCATTCAAACTTCCAATAGAACAAGATTGAGGAAGGAATATAGTGTCTAGATTGAACTTGGACACATCGTTAGATTAGTCATAATACAAAAACACAAGGTTCTGCTGTCAATATCATAAGCAGATGTAAAACTTTTCCCAGCCTATAACTTCATCAGAATGGCTTCAATTTCCAATAGAGAGGCCATGGAATGAAATAGTTCAAAAAATCTAAAATATGCTGCTGCATATTCCATATAACAGAATGGAGACTTCCCATTGTGAGATAAACAAATAATGCATGACAGTAACTACCAACAGAAGCTACATTACTACAACTCTCCTCTTACTGTGCACACCTGTGTGGGCCGTGGCCACGAGATGATTCAGACTATATACCGACCTTCAAATGAATTTGGTAAACGACAAAATTTACTGACTGTTTCTTGTCATCATTTTCAGCCATAAAATTTTATCACATTCCCAATATTATGTACATCATCTTTAGAGTGTAGAATGGTAGCTTACTAATTTTAAGAATGATGAGACCAGGTACCAGTATCCACTGATAAGATCCTTTTTTCACAGAAGTCCCAGGGTCCTAAACATTGACAATTCAATCTTTGAAACCTAGATCCCCCACTTACCTGGGATGCCTGTGCCCATAAGAAATCCCGGAGCCACCCATTAATAGTAATAGAACTCTGGGCATACCAACATGCAACAGCTGTACTCGAATATTACGTTATAGAGCACAAGTATTTTGTACTGGATAAATATAGATATATTCAGTGAGTTTCATGCATCACATGTTAACCTTCCAGTTACACAGCCTAACCCCCATTACGAAATTCATATATCGACTAACAAAACCTACCTTTTCTGTGCAGCTTCTTCCTCCTCCACAAGCAACTTCTGACATCTTAAAGCCTCTGCATCTTTGTCATCTGTCCATGCTTTCACCTGATAACAACATTGAAGTAGCTTAAAAGAAGTTGTATATCTTTATAAATCAATCCAAGGACAAAAGGCAAGCCAACTGGACAAAAGGGATCCAGAAAGGTAGACGTGTAACCCCCACCCACCCCACAAAAAAAGAGGAACAGAAGAGAAGAACAAAACACAAAAAATATTTGGTTCTTGAAAGCAGAAGGGAGGTGAGTGAAGAAAAATGTATACTCGTAGCAAGTTAAAACATATTCATGGAATTTAATAACATACTTCTCAAATTAAATGCCAAATTTTATGTCTCGTAAACAGAAAACCTTGCAAATAAAATGCACGCATGGTGCATGATGCATGTATATAACTTGAGATACACAGAGGCAACTCAAAGTAGGTAAACATACCAACAGGGAAAGAACGAGAAAAAAGAGGAAATACCAGTTGCTGTTCGAAAAGGAAGGTGGTGCAAGCAATTAAGTTCGTCAACTTAAGGCTATGTTTAGCAGTTTCCTCGTCAAAAACATATTTTTGCAGAGACTCAGCTGTCCCAGCACATAAGAATGTATTCTCACTAGCATCATCTAGGATACTAAACAATTCCTGTGAGGATATTGGAAGCCTGGAAGAATTAGCTTGAATAATATCCTGTAAAGTTTAAAAAAGATGACAATGATAAGGGAAATAATTTTTTCAAATAAGATGATATTGAACAGGTGAGACTAAGGGGCTGGCAGGACGATCAACAAAACCTCCCTTACCAATAATGTGGAGCCAGCTCTCACATAAACCTGTGGAAGTGTCCAAACACCTGGCTGGCGGAGAGAGGATGCCAAAGCCCTAATGACTGATGAACTAGGAATTTCCTGAAGTTGACAAAATACCTATTTCAAATTAATATTTGAAGGTAGAAGAAAATTCACT